AAAATTCCTTTAATTTAGATTAATGACACGATCTAGTTTATTTACCCTTCACCATCTTCACTAAATTGAAAATGAATCGTAACTAGTACACCTTTTCGTTATATTTCATAGGGTTTCTATGTTGTCTTTCTCTATCCTCAGAAATTTCGTACCTCCCATTTCATTTTCTCTGTCAAGGGATTTCAAATTCAACATTTATTACTGATGCACCTGTTAACATATTTTCGGATAGTTCAAGATATTACTTGTTTTTTATTTTGCAAAAGAACATAACACTGTCTGAAAAAACTTCGTCATTTATACTTTTATCTGAACTTGTGTTGCCTGATCGATAAAATCAATGGAAGGAAATATCTGTTCACTCAACATGAAGAAGTCAAACAGTCAAATTAAGATAACTACAGTTGTTGCAAAACTTTTTATTTAATATTTAAGAGTAAAAAAATATTATTTTCTACTGACTATAAATGTGTGAAATTAATTAATTATTCCGATATTGAAAATAAATACATCTCTGATCTAAGGGAGGGGGCGTTTAAATCGCACCAGCACTTACTGTACACAAAATCTATACTTCGGTAAAAATGGTATATTATCATGCTTTCCAAAACATGTCAAACAGAGTACGTACTTCAAAGCTTCATTGTGAAATTTCATTTATTCACTCCTCTGTTGGATAGTAATGTTACATCATCATTAAATTTTACTTTTTAAATCATTAGTTTTACATCTAAAATCAATATTCGCAAAGTTAACGAGAAAAATCGAAGCGAGTTGAAATGAGTGTCATTGACAGGTCAATAAAATCAAACAACATGGTATACACCTTATAATTTAGACGATAATGTATTTCTATATATATATATATATATATATATATACGTATTAAAAATAACATATTTCAATTATGATAATAATAAAAAAAAATATTCATCGTATATATAAGTTAAAATGACTATAATAAATAACTACATATATGGAAGTTATTTTTATTTTGAATTAAGATCGCGTAAGAAATATTTAACAATTATTTTTTATTTCAGTGTATGTTAGTCAAACAGGCAGGTTATTATGCAAAAAGGTAAGCCAATGTAAGAATAAACATACTTTCGTATGAACGTATCTCCTATTGCGACAAATATTACACTATGAAATGTTGTTCCCTCCGGAAGTATTTCCATTTCTAAATATATACTATGCTCATCTTTTGGTAAAATACTTTTAATACAGACTTTTACTTAATAATTCTTGCTAAAAAAGGAGAGTCCACACACAATGTTTTAAGAACTGCATCATCTATAAGATGTCAGGTTGATTTGGTTCTTTCTTTAAAGAAAATGCAAGTTTGGTAAATAACAATTACACTTATCTATTATCCCTCGTACATACTCAATCAAACCGAGTCTGCAATTTTCATGTAATATTTTGTGATTAATGCTTCCGAGGAATTATTTTGTTTCCAGTTTTTTAACTATAATATGTAGAATTTTATAACTAACATATCGTCTCTGTGCATACTCAAAAGATGTTAATTTCACATTTGAAAGGAGACTGTACAACCATTATTATTAATTTCAAATGTCAACTTTGGTTAAAGTAGATCTTTGATTGTCCTTACAATAATGTAGATACATTATACATTTATCTGAGGAATTTTTCACAATTAACATTCAATCCATTATATGTCAGAATATAAGTATTTCCAAATTTACTAGACTACAATGACTAGACACATATTGCCGTACTTTTGTGACAGATATCATGCAATAATATTTAATGATTCCCAGAATGCGTCAATAAACATATAGATAATTTAAGGCCACAAGGCCCCCACGTTGCGACGCTTAAATTATTCTGTTTCATACAAAAGTAAGGAATGAATAAATAATAACGCAATTATTTTTGTAAAACATTTATGTACTGAATCGACAATCATCTTTATAATGTAAACAAAGTTTAATTTTACTGGGTACTTATTTTCACCGTCAAAGCCTATATCATAAAATTACGATCACTGCAGTACTGAGCGTTAAGCGCCACGGTCATTTGCTTGTATAGGAAATCATTAAGAGGCATTCAGTAAAAATGAAACTGTAAACAAATAAGAAATTCTATCACACCAACAAAGTATATTTATAGACTATAATGTCAATATCAGTTTACAGTTAAACACGGTTTTATCACTACACATGTTGTTATCATTAAAATGTCAAACTGGTTATGAATGTGTTATATTTGAGTTTAAGAAAATGCAACATTTTTTAGCAGTATGCTAATTTCTATATGAAATATTTGATTGCATAAATTTTCTGAAAAGTAGGAAATTCGTGCTGAATATGTCTAATTTGAATAAGAGAATGCACACAGTTAAACTACATATGAAAAGCTGTATTCCCTATTACTGGTCAAGATTAATTTCTCTTTTCTTATAAGAACTGCCAAATTTTTAATAAGTCAAGTGTGTAGAAGGAATGTATCTTCCATGAGTGTAAACATGTGTTGTACATTTACAAAAAGAGACAGTATAGTCATTTTCAATATTTCAAATGTCGAATATGAGCATAATATTTAATTCAAGTATGTTGATTAATCATAACTATACATTACTATTCGTATTTATCTAAAGGGCACATATAGCAATTAAAGGTGAGCATTTCATATTTTTAAACATCGTATACATATTCTATATATTTTCATGCAATTAAGGCCTTAAATAACGGACGGCAGATACATAGCTTTCTTCTACTAGTAAAATTTCTTTGCAGCAATGCAATAAATTCATACATACTTCGGTTTACATAATACTATCTTTTAATGTAGAACACTGTTAAACTCACGGTTTAAGAGGGTTATTTTTACAGTTTACATTATTATAAGGATAGAAAAATTCGATATCTATACATGTTTGCATTAGACTGAATGGGGTAAATAAGAAAGTCATAAATTGAATCATATTAGTATTATTTTTCATATAATTATATCACGTTTTTCATATTCAAAGAAACGCAAATAACGTTCAGTTTTGTGCCACGTTCAGAAAAGTTCAGATACACATAACGTTCGCTGATTGGTCAATTATTTACAAGAAAATTGTAACTGAGGTCAATCCGATTCACTCGTTCAGTTCACATAAATACAGACGTTCGTTTTTATTTGACACATTCCTCCTTAGCTTCAGCATTTATGAATTTACAGATATCTTAACAGAAGCATTGAATTCGGCGCAAATTGTTCAAGCAGACGTGATATGTGATCCTAATTATTTGGGCAAACCGATTTACGGTTCATATCAAACAGTAGACTATCAACAACATCAAGCACAGATACCGGTATATCAGTATCAAGGCCCACAACAGTAGTACCACCACCAGCAGCAGCAGCAACAAAAACAGCAGCAACAACAACAACAACATCAATTCAGCAAAACCTGGGGTGAAATGGTGAAACTATCTCAACAATTGATTCAAGACATGCGGTCAATGAACACCAATATGACAAATTTAGAAAATGCACTGCGTGAACGGACAGTCCCGCTGAAATTCAAGACAGATACCGTTGTCGTTCCCGTGGAATTTAAATAAGGGGAAAACAGTCACTGCTCAATGCCTGATGACTCCAGTAAATATGATAAACAAGATGCGGCGTTCAATGAACGCAACCCCCACATGACCAAGCAACAAGACCCAGCAGCAAAGAGCCCAGGCGGACCCCAAACAAAACAGGACAGGGCACAAGGCAGAACACGGACAGGCTAATCACTCAAATGATAAAAAAAATGTATCTGATAAGGGATTTATCGGAGAAAAGAAAAACAGATGTTGGACCTGGACATGGATCTCATTCAAAGATGATGAAAACGAAGTAAGACGTGTGGTGGGTTCCCCACCCCACCCCTTATATATTAAAAAAACGGCCCTTTTAAGGGCCACCCTATTTCATCCAAAACGAAAATATCTGATCATTATTGTTATACATGTACAAATTTCAAAGTCATTATACATGTATAAGTCCCTTAATTCCATATATTCACTTAAAAATTCATAATTATAATCAGAAAAATATTTACAGTAAAATGTTCATAATTCGCTGACATTAAAATTCACGTTCCCGTCATGGTCTATCATAGCTCTCTTTTGATTGGTCCATTACACCATGTCTTTTTGCTCATAATTGGTTATCATGATATCATAATTTGATATCTTGGTTAATGTTAAATGAGGTCAATCCGATCCCATGCCTATATAAAGAGCGCTCTACCATTAATGTTCATCATTTGTCAACATGGCACACACCTTACCACACACCATAGGCAACATGAAGATGGTTGAAGAAAAGATTGCGGAGATTAAAGCTCTTGAACTCAGAAGTCTACAACTGTAGGCTGAAGTTCATATACTGGTGGAGCAAGAGATGAAAAGAATGACCTACCGGTGTAGAAATACAGAGACCATGCAACAAAATGCTCAGTCATATAGAGAGAAGTCTGAAAGAGAGTTGAGACAGGAAAGACACAAACAAAATGATAGGCAAAACGACATAAGGAATCGACAGCTGCGATTCATGCCATACTTTGTTATTCCTTTAGGTCACCATCAGCAACAACGGGGAACTAAACAGACCAGTACTGAACCACTTAGTACGGAACAACACACTGAGCAACAAACAAGTGAGCACACTGACCAACAGTAAAGATTAAACCAGTGAGATACTGATGTACTGTTTAAAAGTAAAAAAAATAATAATAAAATAGGAAAATGGTTCTTTTTAGAACCAACACAATTCTTCCCGAAAAAAATATCTTTCATATATTGTCAACCTATTTATAAAAAAAAGTTTAACAAAATATACTGTACAGTAAAGTTTATTTGATAATGAAAGTACGTCTCAGGTATAATTTAAATTTGTTTACTTGATGTGTAGTACACACTGATCAATATATACATGTCAGCACAGGTTAAAAAAGGGCTTTTTAGAACACAATACTTTCATTATATGGTAAACCTTTAAAAGGGTTTAAGTGTACCCTATCCATCTATTAAAGGCCCATAAGTTTCCCCGGGCCCATAAGTTTCCCAACACAGGCCCAAAAGTTTCCGAAAGTAACATCCAGCCCATAGTGCCCGGTCCATAAGTTTCCAGCCCATAAGTTTCAGCCCATAGTGGCCCCCTTAACTACTAATGTATTCGTTATGCATGTTGTATTTATACAGTTAACATATTCGTTCAATAAACTTTTAAGGCATGTTAATCAGCACATGAATGACAATATTCAGTAGTTTTACATTATGATATGTCAGAGAGGCTTGTAACAGAAACACTATGCTACTAGGTTAATGCTATGCCGTTTTTCTTCTTGTCTTCTTTACGTTTAAATATTGGTAGTTGTATAAGGAACAAGTCTATGATTTCCACGATTGTTAACATACTGGCACCAATAAACAAACCCATAGCTCCACCAATATCACCTGAAATCAAGAAATGCCGGATTTAGACAATCATATATTTTAGCAATCACAAACTAGCATCGATGGAGGTAATTCCTAGCTGAGATACCTGTTGGGTTACAAATAAAGACTTTATTTATGCGTATCATGACACTTATGGTATTTATATATTAAATTATATGTAGTTTTAAATACTTTATCACGTATATTCAAATAAGAAAATAGATACTTACAAATTAAAGCAAAAAAGTCGTAAGCTTTGTGTTGACTTATGTATTCGTAGCTCAGCTGCCGATAGAAAATATCCAACTGTAGAAAATTCTGCCTGGAAAGTAGATAGAGATAACTTTACTAAGTGATTTTACCCGAATATGAACACACTTAAAGACAATAAAGTGACGAAACAATAGAAATGCGGTTCTACAAATTATGTGATATATAGTCTATCTTTGTAAATATAGATGAAATACATGTATAAGCGAATTGCATGTTTCGCTGTTTTATTAACCATGCCTCAAAAATTATATACATTTTGTAATCTGGCATCAAAATATGGTTATACCAGTTGTTTTAAATCACGTTTTATTTGTACTCACACAGGTTATATCACCTGTTTTAGAAATGAAAAGAAAACAAATATGCAGGATACATTTCTATACTAACTTGAGGAACTTCCCATCAACAACAATGTCATTCTTGAATTTTTCTAGATGAACAGTTACACCATCATTTGCGATAAAGAAGTCCTCATCTTTGTTAAAGACGTGTTGTCGAACATCAAGTTCATGTAATTCATTTATTTTTCCAGTCCACTCATCCAGAACTACGGAAATATTTCTCAGAAACAAAGCATTATCAGTATAGTTATAATAATCTATGGAATCTTCGTCTGTAATAATTGTTGTCCATATGTTTTTCACTGGTTTATTCAGAAGATTTGTCAAGTCGTGTATCTGTTGGCCTCTTGTTTGAACTTCTTGGAAAAAATTCCTTAAAATATTAACCAATAGTTTTGTCTCGTTTGATAAGAAAACATGAGCTAGATTCATAAGATTGCCTTCAGAGCTGACTGTATAATTTTTCATTAGTGCTATGTTTTGTTCCATATTAGGTAAAATGTTTGCGGTAATATTACTCAATAAAGTCACCAACGCATTTAAATTTTGTCTTAAATCAACAATGTTTGCATTAAAGGACGACCACTCGTTTTTAAAACTTGTCATTCTTTCCTGTATTACCCGAGTTGGCAGTTCTATCCCTTGCGAATATACAACGCTTTTACTAAACATAAATGTCCGGCACGCATACTGAAACCGTTCGTATACATAATTCAGTTCAGTATCATTTACAGTCCTGTTTTCATACGCTATTGTGGCTTGATCTATAAACATACTGAGAACGGTATCCATTAAATCAAAGTCACTGGAATTCAATTTTGGAACGTATTTCAGCATATAGTGATTGTGATGCATTGAGTAATTCATCAAAGGTTTAGGAACGATGTATGGATTATGAGCGAGCGGCAAATCTTCAAATTTATAATTAAATATTGGCGTCCCTGATATAAACGAACTAAGTAAAAGGGTTATATTTTCCCGCGCTTTTTCAGCAATTTCTTTTTTAACAGTAAGAGAGTCAAGTACAAGCTGGTACAATTCAAATCTGCTGGAATAATCTGTATTATTCTCGGTAGCTAAACGCTCGATTCGCCTTTTGTTCACTAATGCAAATTCAGCATAAGCATTTGCCACGTTATTAAGGGTTCTCTCTTCCATTGCTTCACGACCCCTTAGAAAGTTCTTTTCTATAGAATAATCTTGGTATCTATATATCCTATCTTTAACATTATACACGTCTGTCATTTCTGTAACCACCTCTTCCGTTACATTCTTTTGATTCGCAAGGCAGTTTGCAATAGAGGAAATAACCTCCTTCAATTGAGTAAACTTATCGTAAAATGTTTCTGCTATTGCTTGGAAGAATCCGAACGTGTCTTTGTCCATTTTTGACGTAATCTCTGAGGCGTTCTCAAATTTCTCAACCAATTTTGTAGCTTCTGATGACGTCAGTAGTTTGTTGACCAGATGGTTTGAAATAGAGGCGTATGATACAGAGGGATCGTAAATGGCCAAGTAACAAGGAACTGGACAACCGCAATCCTCGCGTAAAGACTTTGAAAACTCAGCTGAAACATTGTGTTAAGAAATCTTTACAAACATTCAGTTTGAATTAACGTAGTTACTTTTTCAGATTCACTCTATATCTCGTTTAAAAATGATAACATTTTATAAGGCTATATTTATTGTTATAAATATCTTTTAAAATATTATCTTTTGTCAATAGTAATCAATATAGGTGGGTCGTTAGCTTGAAAATATAAATGTGACTATAGATAAATTATTTGTACACTTACCTTTAAGATCAACGAGACAAGAGTAGTATGCGCCTAGAGTACATACTGGTATTGACCCTGTAAAATTATAATGAGTTAGTTTCATATTTCACAATGACTGACATCCCCAGTATAACGGAATACTAGTTAGACATATTTTCCGCATTGTGAAATAAAATAAACTTGTTTTACGGAAATAAGAAAATAGCTTGAAAGCTTTAGCAATTTAAAGTCATTCTTTAGTAACTTAATCCTACATAATTTGCATTTAAGTAGATTTGTATCCAATTATCAAGTTAGTACGTAGTTTGGTATTCGAATATCCAACTACCAACTACCTACCAAATTGACGCACATCCAATAAGTATTATTTCTTACATACAATTAAATGTGACTGTATACGTAACAATTATATTTTACTATAAACTGTTTGCTGCAACAATGATAATGTGTTTTTTTATATAATGTAAACTGCATGAATGTGAAAACAATGACGGACATGGACAAGATTTTTTATATAAGTCCTTTATTGGTCTCAATGCTTTAAAGGTTACACAACTGCATACATCATAACATCCACCGGTAGTGTGGTACAAGGTAAAGTTAACAAATGTTTTCTGTATGCTTAGTTGGTTTAAAAATATTTATTGCGAAACAAGTTATTGCAGTACTTTTTGCTGCTACTTCCTTGAACCGACCAGTTCTGGTGTCATATGAAGAAATATGGTCGTGACCTAAGTAGGGCTCGAATCCATGTTCCCTGGGTTGAGAGGCAGACACGTTAACCATTAGGCCACCACTCCCCTTAACATGCTATGTTTGATACATGCTTAAAACTACGCCTAGTTAAATACATATAAACAAATGACCTTTGGGGTCGGGCATGTAGATATCTCTACATCCACATGTCTTATATGCCAGATCAACTAGACAATCTAAATAACATTCCTCGGTTGTATAGAAGTCTGTGTGTGACAACTTCTTTGTATCACATTCTCCGTATGGCTTCGGAAGGTTGTCAATCTGAAAGAAATATTATTACTACTGTGCTATATATATTTAAAACAAATGGTTGATAATAATACATAATATTGATTATATTTTCAGAACTCTGATCTTATGTAATTATTTTTCGTTAATTTCGAAGTTAGTACAAAAGTGTACATTACAAATGTACATATAAAAGACACATTTTTGAAGTATTGACAAGCATGACTCTGTTTTGGGAAAATGAAGGGACACAACTCTAGATATTACCACACAAATGCATTGACACGATTATTTCTCTTTTCCATATAACTAAAATGAACAACATTTAATAAACGTATATAATTTCAAAATAAGCTAGAATACATTTGCAACAAGATCATAAAAAGCGGAAGCATACTAACAATGTATACATGTATGTTAAATGGCATACCGTCATAAACTTAACACCGACAAACGCATGTGTTCCGGTGGGCACTGCCTGACCAAGCTCGTGCACGAACGGTATTTCTCGTGAGTCATGTAATAATATCTTGATACCAGCAGAATCATGAGGGCCGGTCATGTACTCATACTGCTCAACATTCAATGTCACTCGTAACCCAGAATCTACTCCTTTATAAACACAATTTATAAAAAAGCAAATGATAAAGTATTTATATAATTTTTAATTGTTAAATCTTAATGAATCACTTCTAACGTTCAAAGGATTTTTATATTCGAAAGTAATTAATAGTTATACAGATCCTTGCAACTCCGTTAAATTGAATATAATAATAAAATAAAGCATATACATTTTTATATTATGTACAGAAATTTCTATAAGATGCTGTCTTCAAAAAATTTGTATTGCGTGCTTATCATTGATATAAACAAAACAACGGAATGGATGTCAGAGAGATATGTAGAGACAAATCATTTGGGAGTTATCTCTAATAATTGTCTTTGCATGAAAAGCAACTGTGCTTAATTCAAACCCGTTATACATGTATGTATACATAACAATTGTAATATCAAACAAGAAAAGTTGGAAAACAACATGTACATAGGCTGACACCAGAATAACTTAGAATGGCATGTTACACATGTAAAGTATATACCTGACGAGGACACCACAATAACTTTGAATGGCACGTTACACATGTAAAGTATATACCTGACGAGGACACCACAATAACTTTGAATGGCATGTTACACATGTAAAGTATATACCTGACGAAGACACCAGCATATCCTGCTTCTTCTTCTTGAAAATATAACATACACCATGGTCTGTTAGGATCATTTCAAAGTCTTCATGACTACAGTTGCCATTCTTCCATACACAACTAGCACAAAATAAATCATTGAATTTTATATAATATCTCAGCAGTTTGTAACAAATGGTAATCACTAATACTAATTGAATGATTTCCATTCGATATTGTTAAGACATCATTGAGCAGCTCGGCAATTTACTTTTTGAAGTCAATTCTTTTTTCGTAAATTTGACATAAGAAATGCACGAAACTTTCAAGACGTGTAGATATTCAACAGTTTTCACAGACGTTGACGCCATGTTATCCGATTTTTGCGATATTTTATTTGTCGTTCTTAATTCAGAAACCGTCAATGTGGTGTAATTACAAACATAACTGTTTATATTTATAGAAATAATTTTCTGTATTCTTTTTGGTTACTAAAACCAAAAGAAGTAACTACTTTTTATACGTGCACAAGTTACTGCATAAATCATAAACTGCATACAAAATATGTTGCATCATTACCTTAATATGAAGTCTTCTTTTGTATGAGCAAGAGAGGTATATAATTCTTCTACACTAAGATCTGTAGCGTTAAATTGTTCCAGTTGTTGCAGGGAGATGGTTCCAGTGGTTGAGAAAAGGAGTTCTATTAGTCTGTATCTATGAGTTTCAGACGCTTTAGTTGCTCTGTATAAGTGAATATACATTAAAGAGTAAGTACATAATATATATGGTAGACAATGTTGGGAAATATCTCGTGCACTGCAATTACCTGTTTGATGTAGTCCTCGTTGCAAATCAGAATATTATCAATATTTATAGCATTTCATGAGGTTGTATACAAAGAAGGGTATATTCTTTATAACTATAACCTATAACTTATTACAAATCAGTTAACTTATGCCTAGGTCACAATTAGTGTCCAACTTTATTTGTCATCCAAAGACAACTCTGTATTTCTTAAATATTCTGTGCGTTAATTTTCATAGACGAACAAAAGTCGATACTATATATATAAGTCCGTTCATAGTCGACTTCTTTTTTCCATAGTACTTCATAGAACCGCATAGTGACGTAATAAAGGGAATAATAGTGAGGCCAAATAATGCTTGACACTAAGTATGTTAGTATTCATCCGAAGTTGTCGAATTTTCTTATTTCTGTAGAACAGCAGGGATGAACACTAACATATACATAAAACGGCCGCCGATTTAACGATTTTTACAACATCGGCTCAAAAATGCCAGACGATTTTAAATCTGATATCTTGCGTGGTCATGAATGAAACTGTCGCCGCGCGATTTTTTGCCAAATTGATGTTACAGAAAGCATTCAAAGACCGGGCGGTCGCTGCCCGATGTCCGGACGGCGTCTGTGCGATTTATAAATGCTCGGACGGTCACCGCTTATGCGCAGGGCGGTAAAGGCTTGACATTTTATGATGTTGTTTTAAAAATCAGTCAGTGGTCAATATGCCAACAAAGGAGGCAGTTGAGAGAGACAAAATGAAGACCAAGCAAATAATGCAACAATTGTAGTTTGCCTTTTTCTTAATAATAATCCGAGTATCCGTTCTTGCTCGACCATAAAGTTTATGTTAAATCCAAAGGAATTCACAGATACATTTTAGGCAACTACAAACAACGTAAGCCGCAATCACAACAAAGTCAAGTCGCGCGATCGCCGGACGACAATCCGATAACCGCCCAGTGCATGTGCATAAATATTCCGGGTACCGAGCGATACTTGCTGCCAACTGATGTCAATTCGGGCGCCGGGTGGGCCTAGACGATGTCCGTATGATCCCTGCCAGATGACCTTTCAACTCACTGACCCCAAATATTATCGCCCGGATGCCGTTAGCTTTGAAATAGTACTTAAAACTCGACGGCGCCCGCCCAATGAGCAAACTTTTTAGCTGCTGTCGTCCGATTGTCAAGGTGGCCGGACAGGTATAACGAGTTTTTTGAGAAATAGACGCCGCCCGGCGGCCGTGTGTCATTTGTGACAGTGACATTATAATTAGGGCATATGCCATCCAAATATTGTCATCACACTATACCTGAAAGCATTTTGATTACAGATTGTGACCGCAGGAAAATCAAGCGTCTGGTTGTAATTGATCTTGACGTTCACAGCGATTGGACGCTCGTAGAAATAGCCAACCCTGTCGATAATTTGAAGTATAACACCAGTAAGACAGACAAGTACAAAGATCAACCACATAAACCTGTCAAATAAACAAGAAAATACGTTGAATATTTATGTTGTTGCTTTTGTTGTTGTTGTTGTTGTTTTGTATTTTGCATTTAGAGTAAATTACTTGAAAATTTCGGGCATGAAGTTAAATCTAGCTTATACAAATGTGATGTACATGTATGTCCTTGAACATCATTTTGTGACTTTGGATAACACGGGGTACAGTTGATATAATAATAAGAATTTCTCATTTTTTTAAACCTAGAACAAATCAGAATCAGCGGATCTTATTGTAAAGACACAAAACAATATACATATTTAAGACTTGAAACAAACGATACACAATTTTGGCAACGGGAACTTTAAATTTGAGACTTCAATCTGCGATTTAAATTAACAAATTATTTCATACATTTCACGATGATTAAATGATTATTTGGGAGCGGTGGCATTAAGTTGTGTGAATGAATCTGTTCAATGCAAGCGATTAACGTTTCATGGCATATTGTTCAAATTCTTTTGAACCACAAGCATTTATAAATACTCAATTTACAATCCCCTGATTATAAGGTGCTTGACCGTCTCTGAAAATGTTGGACAAATGGTCAATATAACCAAGCTTAAACCAACTATCAATCACTGAAATGTAAAAAGCTGTTTATCTGCGTGAGATCAAAACCAAGTATTGATCATATTATTATTATTACTAGTAACTACAAATACGTCAAATTAAAAGTCACCAGTTTCAATGGACTAGTGTCTAGAGAATTATACTTTTGTAATGTGTCTCATAGGTATGCATATTAATGATCTATTTCTGACGGCTACAATTAACTCGTGATTTATGGAAAGTAGAATCGTATTAACAGTATATATTGGTCAAAATTTTATTCACATTAGCACAGTTTCAGGAAACGGACATTGAGGTTTGTATAAAGGCATCCAGAGATTCCGTAGTCCGGTACATATGTACCAGTCTAGCTTGTGGCTGTGGCTTATGTGTTTACAGTACAGTTTTTTAATTGGGATTTTTTTCTTATAATAACGCCGATATTCACAGGATAAAATTGGCGTATATATAAATATTGACACAGTCAATGTATATTTAAGAAAGATGTCCCTTTTCTGTCCCCCTCCCCCCAAAAAACAAAACAAAGACAAAAAAGAAACAAAAACAAAAAGAAATAAAACAAACAAACGGCTTGGCTTAAATAAGTTTATAACTCATTCCAAATTCTTTAAAACTAATAATGCATAATGCTACAAGTAATGATGTATTGTAATTAAGATAAGAATCACAATAGTTAAATCATTTTTGTGAAGAAATTGTTCACTATTCGATGTGATGTCGACGAACATTATATGTTCATTTTTATGAAAAAGTGTCAGTTCTTTTCATTTGTGTAATAAAACTACAATAAACAAAATTAGATGAGGCGAATATACAAAAATAGTAATTGTGTAATACATGTTCTTTTCAGATTCGTTCATTCCGCATTTCGTTACACAGAAACCGGTTTCGTCTGCTTTTTACACGCGAAAATGCGTTGCCATTAAAAAAATTAAGTGGTTGTCACTGCAATCAGTTGTTTCTACATGTCGCCCCGAGACACGTTTGATCAAAAACGTGTTACAATGGCGCATGCATCCTTGATTATACAGGTTAATGCATGTTTATTTCCCCGTAGAAAAGTTATTGTCGGATACCTACGGCCGAACCAGCCAGATATTCGGTCGATAAGAGGTGTGTCAAAGACAGCTTTTTGATTAGTTGCCTCACGATTTCATGAGGCGATTATAACCAATCAAAACGCTCGTTCTATACGACGTTTAGTGAAACGTTAATTCTAGACAAAAATAATTGTGGAATAATTTAGATTGGGAATAGTTTTGCCTTTTATATTTGCAAGACACGTGAAAAAGGTTAACTCCGTGGGCGCTCTATTTTGTTTCTGATAGTTGTTTACCTTTGCTGTCCAAGAATATAAAATTTACTAAACACTATTTCATTAGTCAATATTTTACGCACCTGAAGCTGTTTATCGATACAATTTGATTCATTTTTACCCTTGGTTGATTACATGTTATGTTACAGCATGTAATGTTACATGTTAATCAACGGTTGGTATCCGACGATGACGATAAGTACACTTGCTATAGCAGATTCAATGCAAGAATTGTATTTATAATTGATTATGAAAAATACTTAGTAGTATGATGGAATATCGGAACAGTTGTTAATTTTTTACTATTTTAATCGTTATGAAAAGAATAACAGAATAACACTCTAATGGACGAGGAAGTTATATAGAAATTTCTAAACGTAATTAAACAAATGTCAATTAGGTATATGTTTATAATTTACAGAAATGCACACATGATGAAACATTTGTAACTATAAGTAACCGCTTTTTACACAGTTACAGCTCGACATTCATCACCGGACCTTTCACTTCCTAGCTTACATATTACGAGTTATAGAGTTATTAAAATAAATATGAAAGTTTCTTAAAATTGAAATAACAGTACCAAAAATGAATTTGAAAATACGAAATACGTCTATAAAAATAAATTGACATATAAATAAAATGATGATTAATATACCCATCGATGCTATGCCATTATTGCTTACAAGGTTAAAACGATTTAGATCGAAAATTACTTTCAGACAATTAAATAATTATAAATTCAAATTATAGCGGATAAATGAATATACAAAATGTACTTCATGTATGCATGAAATATTACTATGAACATCATCAAGACAAATGTAATGTAAATGCAAATGTATGTAGACGTTTAAAAATGATCCGCCATACTCACATTTTAAATTATTTTAGCTATCTACTATACTTTACCTGCGGACAAAAGATTCCGATTCGGTGACATACTTGATTCCATGGCAAGAAGTATTCTGAGCAAAATACGTCATGCACTTTTTCACGTGAGAAAATTTGCTAGCTATAAGTTTACTATGAGCCATAATAAACAAAATCCTCCGTACTAACTACACAATATTAAACTTGTATAATTCTTTCACAAATGTATTCAGATTCCATCGTTTGATGTACTGTCTAGATGATTATTTGTATATTATATGCTGCTTTATTCTTCGTTTGTATATTACACTATTCGTTTAATTCAAATTGCCTTATGAGTATGGCGAACAGTAATTTTTATCCAAATGCAAATGCAAAAAGGTAAAACAATTATCATGATCAGTTCACGAAGAACAGGCTTTTAAAATTATTTAAAGATAACATATCGTCGGTTTAATTCAAATAGTTCACGCTTTTAGAATGACTTTTTATTGTATCAATCTATTCATATATTAGTATAATACGTTCTCAATTTATTACAATAAAAATGTCTTAAAACCACGCCGCTTTTACATCAAAATGATTTTTATTTGTTCATCAGTATTTATTTGTTAAGTAGCTTTTACACTTATTGTCATGATACATAGATACATAAACATGAAAGAAGTCGCAAACATTGAATCATACAGATTAATATCTGAGAAAATGTAAACACATAAGATGATTGAGATTTCATTTATTATAAGCACTCAAGCAAATGACATATTATGCTGACAATAAATAGTCATAACACAGTGTATAGAAATAAAGACATTTCGAAACACAACTTTTATTTATGACAGTCAAGAATGATATTCCATTAGGTAATTACTAAAAGAATAGCTTTTTATAATAAAACTTATATTTTGAAGCTTTGCACTTTTCAAAAATATTATTACACGCTCTGTGAATTAAAACTACTACACCACATTGTTTGGGATATAGACTTGATATAAAAAAACTGCAGGCCAAATACTTAAAACAAGAACTTTGTAAGATAATAGCCAATTACTTAAACAAGAACTTTATAAGATAAATATGTACATTTATTGGGGTGGTGTAACATAACTTTACAATAAGCACATTAAAACAATTTATTTCAAACTAAAATGTTTACTAAACCTCCGAAAGATAGATCCTGCTCCCAGACAATATTTCACTCCATGTAATGTCGTGGATTCTGCCCAATTCTTAATGTAATATCTCCAATCATGTTTTGACACTTTGTCCTTCTCAACACTGACATTGTCATCAGATAATATAGGTTTTACTTGAATACAAGTCACAGAATTTGGTTCAATTTTGGTTTTCATTTTTATCATGTTCTTATATGTTATCTCTAAATCCTTTCAGATACTGTCAGTAAACTAAACAAACCTATCAACTACTAACTATGTTTTACATTTAATATAGTTCTTTTTATGTTGTTCACTTATCTATATACATAAAGCGACTTTACTACTTCAAAATATTGTCCGTTAATGAATGTAGCTCTAAATTCGTACAATACACCAGCATCAAACAATGAGGGTAATATCAAAAGTCACAAAGGGAGTTATAACCGAAAACGATACATACAATGTTTCATCAACATGAAGTATTAGAGATCTTATACGATCCAATCAAAAACATATATTAAGCATTTTATGTAATTTATTCTCAAAATACAGATATGGACACTGACATTTCTTGCCTATGTTTTCGGCATTCAGATTGATTGAAAAACAAAGTCAGACAATAAAATCACAGTTGCTGACTTAAATTCTTACTATTTTAGACGGAATTTATCAATAGCTTATCTATAGAAGTGGCCAAGGATTTTCATTGAGACCCCTACTCAAGTCCAATTGGGCACTCAATTGGGGTCTTTTAACATCATCCCCAAGTGATTAAGTGGTGTGAAACATAGACATGAACGTGTCATTAGATCATGCGCTGAGCCAATATTTTTTTCTTTATATTTCTAAACCTTGAAACAAATTATTTAATTGATGGTAAATAAATAACAATATCAGTCATTGTTTGGAAGTTTCATACATATAAAACCTTTATGTCTAAAACTATAATTCATAACGAAAACTTTAACTTTTGGAAGAAAATGCGCAAATATTTTCAGGTTTCCTCGTTGTTTGCTGCTCTCCTAGTGCAAGCCTACAAATATTTTAATGACCAA